AGGCTGCTTACTTATTCAGAACAAAAATATGTGGGCCTCTAGGCTGCTTACTTATTCAGAACAAAAATATGTGGGCCTCTAGGCTGCTTACTTATTCAGAACAAAAATATGTATGCCTGTAGGCTTCTTACTTATTCAGGGCAAAATATGTGGGCCTCTAGGCTGCTTACTTATTCAGAACAAAAATATGTGGGCCTCTAGGCTGCATACTTATTCAGGGCAAAAACATGTAGGCCTCTAGCCTGCTTACTTATTCAGAACAAAATACACGTGGGCCTATAGGCTGCTTACTTATTCAGAACAAAAATATGTGGGCCTCTAGGCTGCTTACTTATTCAGAACAAAAATATATGAGCCTCTAGGCTGCTTACTTATTCAGAACCAAAAATGTGGGCCTCTAGGTTGCTTACTTATTCAGGGCAAACATTTGCCTTTGCGGGTGGTGTCATTTATAAATATTTTGTTGAGTGTGTGTTACTGGCGCGATAATGGTTTGACTTGCATTTGAATTTGTTTTTGTTAAACATTATAATTTTGAGTTTTGCTGAGAAAGAAAATTTGATAATTTGTCTTTAATATCACTTTGATCCACTTTTCGAGTTATAGGTTTTTATATTTTTGTCTTTGATTGAAATTCTGAACCTACGTTTTTTCCCAAAACTTTTACGAATTTCGTTTTGCTGTGATATATACTTTGAAAACCAAAAATTACATTTAGATACTTCACATTCGGGGGGTTTGTTATAACTTGAAGTCAAATCAGTTAGTTGATGTGTACTGGAAGTCAAATCGTTTAATTTCTGTACTGTGATTATGTTTAGATAGTTAGTTATGGTTTGGCATCGGTGTGGCTATTTTAAAGTAACTATAAACGTTTTAGTTTTTAATATGAAACATTTGTAATACAAATCCACTTCGTTTCAGTTGTGGAAAAGTGAACGTTCGAGTAACTTACAGAAGATAAGTGAACGTTCGAGTAACTTACAGAAGATAAGTGGACGTTCGAGTAACTTGCAGAAGATAAGTGGACGTTCCAGTAACTTGCAGAAGACACGTGAACGTTCAAGTAACTTACAGAAGACACGTGAACGTTCGAGTATCCTGTAGAAGATAAATGAACGTTCCAGTAACTTACAGAAGATAAATGAACGTTCCAGTAACTTACAGAAGATAAGTGAACGTTCGAGTAACTTACAGAAGATAAGTGAACGTTCGAGTAACTTACAGAAGATAAATGAACGTTCCAGTAACTTACAGAAGATAAATGAACGTTCAAGTAACTTACAGAAGATAAACGAACGTTCCAGTAACTTACAGAAGATAAATGAACGTTCAAGTAACTTACAGAAGATAAACGAA